AAATATATGAATTAATTTAATTTAAATCCTATAAAAGTATGACTAATTGGTTTTCGAGTTTAGTATTTCAGTTTGGATTCCATCAATTTTTCCGAATCTATTATTATTTCAATCCTTATAAACTAGCAGAAAAATATACTATTAAACGAACAATTTAAAAGGAAAATACGACTCCGTTAATGTAATGTTTTTTTTTTGGTGAATCGTTAATGTAATGTTTGTACAGTAGAGAGGTACGTATTTTTATGGAAATTAAAATTATTTAAAAAAAAAAATCAGAATATTCTTTTTTATTTTGTCGGTCAAAATATTCTATTTAATACCGTAATATTAGGTTATTAATTTATGGTTGTTTGTAAATTTTTCCTCAACGACGAGCGATGGATTATACGATGTCTATGGAAGAAGATAACAATCAGTCACTTTCTTCGTTGCCAGACGACGTCGTTTTGAACTGCTTAGTCCGCATTCCGAGAAGCTATGACCTAAACGTCTCTTGTGTCTCCAAAAGCCTCAGGTCGCTCGTGCGATCGCCTGACCTCTACCGTTTGCGATCCCTCTTCCACAAAGATTCCGTCTATCTCTGTTTCCGCCAAAACAACATAAGCTCTCATTGTCATTGGTACAGTCTCTGTCGGAATGACAGGACAAGGACTAATATTGACTATCAATTGGTTCCGGTTCCGTTCCCTTCTCATGCTTTTATGTTCTTTTCTTCCATGGTCGCGGTGGGATCAGAGATCTACTTCATTGGCGGACCTCTGGATCAATCCAAGAACCTCTTGATCCTCGATACCGAATCTGGTCAACTACACGTGGGTCCAAGCATGAGAGTGGCTCGGTACATGCACAAAGCAGCCGTGGAAGTGGTCGACGGGAAGATATACGTGATTGGAGGGTGTGATAAGGAGATCCGCGTGGAAGTGTTTGATCCGGAATCACAAAGCTGGGAGTTCGCAACGAAGGAAAAAGTGCAATGCATATCGCCGTTTAGTGTGTCTTTGGAGAGGAAGGTTTATGTGGTGGAAGATGGGAAAGTCTGTGTATACAATCCGAGAGAAGGTCTAAGAAAGGAGATGCTAGCAAAAAAGAAGAGAAAAAGAGACGAGACAATGGAGAGGCTAAATGGTAAAGTGAATTGTGTGTGTGTGGTAGAGAATGTGCTCTATGCTCTTTTTAAAAGGAGTGGGTTAATGTGGTTTGACACAAAGCTCAATGAATGGAGAAGTTTGGTTAGTTGTTATGATAACTACTCGTCGTTTCCCAATAATGTCGATGCAATGGCGGGATACAATGGAAAGCTAGCGGTTTTGTGGTCTAGGTTTGATTCCAATGAGAAGAAGAGTATTGGGTGTACATTAATCGCATTGGACCGGGTTGGAGAAGGGATTCGTTGGAAAATTGAATGGTCTGGTGTTGTGGCCACATTCCCTTGTAACTATAGTTTTATGCATTGTTTAGTTGTCTCCAATTGATCGGCTCATTTGTTTTAATTTGTTCAACGCGTCGTTAGATTATTGCGTTTTTTTTTTTTTTTGCTGAGTCTTGTTTTAGTTTAAATAATAAAATGGTCATAAATTTAGGCGTGTTCTTTAACAAGACGCAGCGGCATGCGACCATAAAATTTGTAGAGAATTAGTTAAAACTTTAGTGGCTTGGAGCCCAAGAATGTGGAGATTTATGGTCGATGTTATTTTCGGAGACGCAGCGACACATTTCTTTTATGCTAAAAAACTCAGCGACAGCAGCCGCGTTTAGTTTCTTCTTCTCCGCGGCACCATGACTGCTCCACCACTCTAGTTTTGCTCTATTTTACTTGTCGATGTCATTGTTTTGTTCAGTCCTGTCGCTACCGCAGCGTCATTGTTCTTTGGTTTTTTTTTTTTTTGAAAATTTGTTTTCTATTTAAAGCACGAGGAAACAAATGTTACAAAACCATTAGAACATCATTAATGGTAAAATTTTGTAGGTGTTTTTAAATATAAAATTATTAAAATTTGAGTAAAAGGAAGAAAGAGAGTGTTTTTGGTTGAAATAATGGGGTGTATTGAAATATAAAATTAATAAAATTTGAGTAAAGAGAGGAGATAGTGGATATTTTTGGAGAGAGGGTGTCTTAGGAAAACATAAAAAAACACTTTTGGAGAGAGAATATCTTTTAGTTGGGGTGTGTTTAAATA